TAAGAGGTAGGAGTTCAAAAAAGGCAGATGCTACATAAATCTGGTGGTATGCTTTACTATTTTTGCACATCTGTTGCCATGCAACCTCTGTAATACATGGATACTGGAATTTTTTCTTCTATGATATGCTCTTTAAGGTGTTTTTTATGCTTTTGTATTTTTTCTTGAGTTCTGTCATCTCAAGTAGGCCACTTGAGTTAATACATGTAAGTTCCTGTTGCTCTACTGCAACTTGCTTAGGGTTTGTTGGCTTTTTAAATTTTCTTTTTGAAATTGTATTCCAACTGTATGTTACAACTAAAGCACTAGATTCCCCTTGCTTTTTCTAAATGCCATTTCAGTTTATCTGTACTCTGCAAGCATTGGGTTATGAAGGTATCATCTAAAAGATGCTAATTATGGCATAACACATCAGAACAAATATTTTAACTGGTATTGTGAAAAAGAAATATCTGATTTTTCTTGTTCATTTTACTATAACTTATTTTTTCTGTTTCAGATTTGATTGGTTTAGATGGCATCACCACTTTTCAACAAATAAAGTGATGCATTTGGAGGTATTTCTTACTCATGCAATGGCACTTAGTATTCGTTTGATGTTGGGACTTGAGTATGACAGTGAACAGTCCTTTACAGGTTGTGCTACCAATGATGACAGAAGAAGTGGTAGTATTTTCTAAAAAGATAAACATGGACTCCAGATGTTTAGAAACTGCCAGTGATTAAGAGTTTTATCAGAACATTCCAAGTTAGGCTGAAGTGAAATGGCATTATTCCGTAGAATGGCTTCAGTAGTATTCCCTGTGCCATTGTTAGGTAATCTATTAGAATACTGTCCAGGAACCCATCCTTGGTCACCACACTAGACAGTGATCACATCATGATCTGCAGATGAGACATCCAGACAACCAGATGTTACATTCACCTCTTTGGGTGGCCAAATGGAAACCAAGATGCTTGCCTTCTAGACATAGGTTGTTTCGTTTGAGATTGTTTCCATTAAAAAAAATCAGTTATGAAACAATCTTGTTAATACTTATATTAGGGTTGCTTTCCAAGGCAATATTTGTTTTGAGAGTAATATTTAAATATAAGGTGCATTTGGTATCTTCAGTTACTGTAAAAAGGTCCATCAAAGAAAACCAAATATGTCCTTCTGACTTTCCATTTGCACTTCCTATAGTGGCATCGCCAGTCTACATCTCAGTCCTAAAAGGTGGAAGAAATGCCATAAACAAACTCTGCCATCTTCAGGAGAAATGAACACCGAGTAATAGGTTGAACAGCAGAGTAATGAGGTATCCAGTAATTTAAAAGCAGTAGTACAGAAAAAAAAGAGAAGACAGAGAACAATTGTAACAACTGCAATACACCTGAAATGTAAAAGAGAAAAAAATGAAAGCATTAGTAAGTGTAATTTTTAAGGAAAATGTGTTATATTCTAACTATTCTGAAAATATAACAATAATAGCCGAAACCTCTGTACTACAAGTAACAGACAATGTTACCACTGCAGGCAGTCCCCAAGTTGCAAGCATCTGACTTACATATAGCTCATACTTAAGAAAAGAGGCAGCGTGACGTCACTCTGGTCCCAGAAACCAGTCCCAGAAAGGCTGGCCCCAGAAATCACGTGGCCATCTTGCTGTTCATCACATGCTGCCACCTACTGTTTGGTAGACCTGTCAGCAATCCCACATCACTGTATGGCCAGCTCACCCTTCCTTATGCTATCCAAAACTTAAAAATATTTTTTTGGCTGGAGTTATACTTAAAAAAAGTACCTGTTCCAACTTACGAACAAATTCAACTTAAAAACAAACCTACAGAACCTTTTCATAACCCAGAGACTGCCTGTATTATGTATCCCCATGACCTATATAAATTACTATTTATATAGTTCAGTAAAAGTTTTTTGAAAAAGACAGAGGCACATGTACGTAAGGCAAACCTTCACACTAAATTAATTCTCATATTGCCTTCACTCCTCCCCTACCTCTCTCACAGTTGGATATACATTTTTTTTTTAATTTAAAAGTTTTTCTGTGCCTGGGTGAGAATGTCGTTTGTGTCCCCCCACCAGGCTTCTACGTGTGTACAGATATGCTGCTTCAGGTCCATATTGAACCCTGCAGCATATTTGCTCATGTGTGACTTCCCCTGTGCATTTAGAAAGATGACTTTTACGAAGGCCTAATACTTTGTAGAGTCTCTAGGCACATCTGTGAATGTGCCTTAATGTTCACAGTGGGGGAGGGGGGGGGGGGGGGCAAAGCAACACAAAACAGGACTGAAGTTCTTTTTTAAAACAGACCTTCCCCTAAAAATGCAAGATCTGCTTATTTGCTTTGGCTCCATATCCCATGCCAAAATGCTGACATGAATAAAAAAACTGTAGGTAAAACTGTTATTATTTATAATTACCTATATCCCATATACTTTAACCACTTGTCCTCTTGAGGATTTACCCCCCTTCCTGGCCAGGCCATTTTTTGCGTTACGGTGCTGCGTAACTGAAAATTGCGCAGTCATGCAACGCTGCACCCAAATGAAATTTATGTCTGTTTTTCCCACAAATAGAGCTTTCTTTTGGTAGTATTTGGTTGCCTGTGCAGTTTTTATTTTTTGCGCTATAACAAAAAAAAAAAGACCAACAATTTTGAAAAAAAAACATTTTTTTTACTTTTTGCCATTAAACATGTCCAGTAAAAAAATGTAAATAGTCAATAATAATTGTCATAAATTTAGGCCAAAATGTATTCTGCTACATGTCTTTACTAAAACAAATCCCAATACGTGTAAATTAAATGGTTAACGTGAAAGCTTTAGCATTTAGAAATGGCGGTATAGATACTGGAATTTTTTATTTTTATTTTTACTAGTAATGGCAGCAATTAGTGACTTATAGCGAGACTGCAGTGGGCATTCTGACACTGGAGGGAACTGACTTTGTGTCACTGACATCCCAAGTGACACCAATACTGTGATCAGTGCTAAAAAAAAAAGCACTGACACTGTGACACTGTACTAATGGCACTGGGCAGGAAGGGGTTAACACGAGGGGCGATCAAAGAGTTAACTGTGTGCTGTTTTACTGGTGTCTGTGCTTCACTGTAATCACACTGCTTTGGATGGCTGTGCTGTGCACAGCCATCCAAAGCAGTGTACACGAGCAAACAAGGAGGAGAACTGTATAGTTTATATCACTGGACCCGGTGATTGACAGCCGTGGTCGGGAATGGTGGCGCGTGCGCCCCCTACCTGAAAATACAAAATCACGTGTATATATATACGTAATTTTGCGCACCTGTGCTGCCCTGTAGCAGTATATCTGCTACAGGGCGGTCGGGAAGCCGTTAATCATCCTACACTTTAAATCACAGAGTATTTCCATTTTGAGAACAAAGTTTTCCAACAAGGCAAACCAATATATATTGTTTGAAACATGTCTCCACACCATGTGCCTTATCAGGAGATAAGAGGGGGACACTGGAAGAAGGGGAAGATCAGAGAAGTCAGGATCAAACAATATTTTTACACAATGCAGAGGATTAACCCCTTAGGTTCCACAGTGAGTATAACAAGCATGCTTTACTACATTTACAGACTGATTTTACTGTTGTGGGTTTAGTAACACTTTAAGAAATCCAATCAGTGTTATATAGCAATGTCTGATGATTAATATTTTACCATTTCATAAAATAAAAACTATTATACTAAAGCCTCCAAGCTGAAGTTTTCTCACCAATTAAACCGTACTACGAGCATTCAACATTCCACCAAGGAATTCATTTTTCTCATAATACGTATCACTCACTGTAGCTAATTTTTCGTAAGCAACAGGACATCTGTTTTCCGAGTAAGTATGATATATCTGGCTATTTTTGCACTATAGACATTTGCTGAAGAAGTAGACCTCTGACACAGCGTTGTAGAAAGTGGTAACAAAATTGGAGAATTAAATGACATTTATCAGAAACTTACAATGCAAGTGTCTAGAATTTGTCCGCATCTATGTTAAAATTGGTGTAAAGCCTGTCACCAAAATATCATATAGGATTTAACATGTTAATGTAATTTTAAGAAATCAATATTTTCAAATCTGCTGATTTGGTAAAATAATACCTGGAGACCCTGCCATGGAGGGCCTTGCTCAGGCCGTTAACATAATAGGGTGTGCATGCTATGTCCTGGGCTCCCAATTCTATGTCCTGGGCTCCTATTCTCATGCATAGTCACCCTGTAACACAGGCTTCTATTGGAGACTACAAGTTGCTATTTTAACACACATTATGCAAAAACAATACAGGCGTACCTCGGTTTACGAACGCCTCGGTTAACGTAATTTTTGGTTTACAAATGAAAATCCATTGAAAATAACACCTCAGTTTATGAATTTTTTTTCTCAATATGAAGCAAGTTTCCCCAGGATGCATTGTGCCTGGGAGGTTTATAGCGCTGGCCCCGTGCCTTTAACCTCCCTAGTGGTCTGATTATGTCCATATTTCTGTGCTCAAAACGGTACATTTTTTTGCATGGAAATATGTATTTTTTTTATTGTAGGCCTGTAATTTTTAGGAATAACTCACTGAAATCTGTCCAAACAAGAGTCTAGTAAACATCCCGTGTATGTTACAATTTGAAACACGAAATCATAAATTATAATTTAATAAATAATCATAAAATATAATAATAATAAATTTAATTCTATAATATAATCAAACCAAAAACACTGGAATTTGAAATATAGCGCCAAGTTTGCACATCACTGAGCAAAGTCGCAAAATCGTAAAAAACTGTCTGATGACGAATTTCCCCACGAATCATCACTCAATTCTGCAAGTAGTTCTAATTTACTATCGCTGTTCTCTAGCTGGTCTAAAACCGCTTTTGACCTAAAGGGATGCTTTTTGGACGCCATGGACGTTTCTCTCAGTTTCCAGGCAGAAAGAACAGTCAAAATGCTGGCAGGGCACAGGACAAAGCACTCGGGACAAAATTATGTGAAATGGTTTGATACAGTAATGTTATAATATGTTATTTTAGTGCATTTAGTGAATGTCACTTTTTGTCATTTTCAAATTTCCCGCCAGTTCCGTCCCCGTATGTCCCGACGCTCGCAGGGGATGGAACCCAGATGACAGATGCCGGCATCCGCCGGAGGACATTACAGGGGACACTGCAGGAGGGACATCGCGGGAGAGCAGGACAAGGTAAGAGAAGAACATATCCCAGAGCAGTGCCGCATGGTATTCCCGAGTGTAGCTCGGGGTTACCGCTTGTGGTACTGAAACTTTACCTCGAGCTACACTCGGGAATACCGCCAGGGAGGTTAAAGTGCACATTATAAAAAGTTTTGAACAGAAGACTTTTCTTTACTTTTTTCAGACCTCTGGAATGGATTGATCTTCAATGCATTTACAAATTAATTTTTAATCATGTCCCTGTACAGTATTTATGCCTTTAAAGTGTACTTTATAAAGAGTTTTTAAACAGATAAGACTTTTTTTTTACTTTTTTCTGACCTCTGGAACGGATTAATTGGTTTTCAATGCATTTACAAATTAATTTTTAATTATGTCCCTGTACAGTATCTATGCCTTTAAAGTGTACTTTATAAAGAGTTTTGAACAGATAAGACTTTTTTTTTTTTACTACTTTTTTCTGACCTCCGGAACGTATTAATTGGTTTTCAATGCATTCCTATAGGAAACCACGTTTTGGTTTACAAAATGTCCTGGAGAACACATTAAATTCATAAACCGAGGTACACCTGTATATGGGATCAGATTTATGCTGTTTTCTACCCAAGGCAAGCTAAGTTGTGCTGCCCTCCCAATAGCATACAGAACCAAAACCACTTTACTAAAACTTGCAATATTATACCAATAGGAAGATTATGATCATAATTGCAAAAGTTGACTAAGCTCTTTAAGAACTGACTTACAATTGCAGAAGCTTAGAGAAATGATTATATACAGTAGTTACATAGTTGGTATGTGTCAGGAATATGGTGTCAGCCATGAAGCTAAAATTGCACGATCCCAACACACACGTTCATGCGTCAAGAAATGGCTGTATGTTTAAGCAGGTGCTGCAGTGACCACCGGCTGGAACCGAGAAGAATCAGAAAAGAAGAAAGTAACCAGCACACCGATCTTTGGTGCCGGGAGAGGCACAGACACAGGGCATCCTTCTGTAATTGCTTTCCCCGACACCAATCTCCCTCTCTGTACTGCTTGCTTCTGATTCCCCCCATTATGCTCTCCTTTTACTGTGCTCTCCCACGCACACACACACACTTTCCTGCAGCATTGCTGACTTCCCTTGTACCCTCCAGCAGCTGCGGATACAGTGGATGTGTCAGAATGGAGAGTGGAGGAAGGGGCTGGTAAATATGTATTTTACCAACCCCTTCCTTTTTTGAATGGACAAAGTGAGTGATCGGTGCTGTGTTTACTATGTTTCAATGCAGGAATGAACAGGAGCCTTTGTCTCCTGTTCATTCATCTTCAATGCTAAAGCTATAGAGAAAGGAATTGGAGAATCTGTGTCCTCAAGTCCTTTCTATGTCTCAAAGATGAGATTTCAGGGGTCTGTTTAGACCTCTGATATCTCACCAAAGCCCCCAACAGTAAAAAAAAAAAAAAAGTAACAAAAAAGTAAAAAAATTTTTTAAAATAATGTAAAAAATAAATATTAAAAACTGTAAAAAATAATTTTTAAAAATTGTAAAAAAATTATTTACAAAAATTTTAATTAATTAAAAATAATTAAAAAAAATGAAAAAACAATAATTTAAAAAAGTATAAGAAATATTTTTAAAAAATGGAAAAAATAATTTTAAAAATGAAGGGCTCATTCACACAGGTTTTCTAGCCCATACAGTGTGCAGGAGTAGTTTGTTGGTGAAGCGGGAGCCATCTGTTACTCTATTAGGGTGCAGCAGCTGTATGAACACATCCGCAGGTCCTAATTTGATAGGTGTGCAACTGTGGGTGAGTGGCTTCAAATGCACACGGTCAATGTTCGGGGTCCATACTTCTGCACCCAAATGCCTATCAAAAGTGGACTTGAGGATGTGTTCATACAGCTGCTGCATCCACATAACGTAACATAGGCTGCCTGCAAACAGCATTAGCCACTAAAAAAAAAAAATTCACACTGTACAGGCTACAGCTCCCATGTGAATGAGCCCTAAGACCTCCTTTATTCACAGAGCTTTATGTATTAACTCAATATAGTTTTATGTTTTACATTTAGGAGGAATTATGTAAGTTATGTTTGTATCCACTAATAATTATTTCAGTGTCAGTTTGATATGTGGGGGGGAATACATCCCTGTCAGGTAGGTTCTACAGGGACCCTTGACTTCTAACAGCAGCCCTGCTCATAGCTGTGTTACCCTTCTATGGACTCTTGCCCTCTTAAGGACATCCTTCCTGAAGATTGGTGACCAAATGTGTTTTGTAAGGTGGTAGAATTATAATTTAATTTACTGAGTAAATACCCTTTTTAATGCATGCTAATAGTCTGGTTGTTTGTTGCAGATTGGCTTTGTGTGCTATTGCTAAGTCTGTGATCTATCAGGACTCCCAAATCTTTTTCCATCTTCGATTTCCCCAGAGGTTTCCCCCTAACATGTAACCTGAATGCATATTTGTAGCTACAAAGCGCATTAATTTACATTTTCCTACATTGAACCTCGTCTGCCATATAACTGTCCACCCCTCTATTTAAACTAGGTCTTCTTGTATAGTTGTTATATCCTGTAATGAACTTATTGCCCTGCTTAGTTTTGTATTGTCAGCAAACACTGAGATTGAACTAGTTATTTCATCATCGATATCATTCATGGACATATTAAACAGAACTGGTCCAAGGATCCTTGTGACCCAGTGGCACAATGCTCACAACTTCAAATCATTCATAAAATATGCCATTAATCATCAGCCTCTGGCCATACTCCTGAAATCAGTTTTCTATCGAGATACAAGTGCGGACTACTTTGCCTGTCAAAAAAATTGCAATAATTCTAAACTACTTTTGTGACTTAATCATTCCTCTCTCAGTACACCAGTTAAGTGATCTCAAATCAATATGTTGCTGATAAACAGAACAGGCTGCTCACTTAACCATTCCATATAGAAATCAACATCTCCACTTATCCACCCACAATTGCTATTTTGTCAGTCCTTTCACATGAGCATTACTTTTTTTTCATCAGTTCAGTCACGTTTTTTTTTTCTCAAAATCAGAGCCAAGACTCCACTTTTTACCTCCATTTTCATATCCGTTTACAACTGTTTTTTCATCGTTTTTTTGTTCCATTTACATACGCTAACATCCGTCTTTAGTCCAGTCCAGTTTTTTTTAAAGGAAGAAAAATAGGGTTTTCTTCCGTTCAAAAAAAGGGATGTTAACAAATGTGGAGATTAACCACATCCCGACCGCCCTATAGCAGATATACTGCTACAAGGTGGCAGGGGTGCGCAAAATCACGTATATATGTGATTCTGTATTTCCGGGTATGGGGCTGCGGCTGTCAATCACCGTGTCCCGGCCAGTGATTACCCGCTGGCACCTAGTGATTACCAAGGATCTCCGACAGGGAAGAGGGCTGCTTTGTTTACTAATGGTCCTCCTCCTTGTCAGCTCGGGCACACTGCTCTAGATGGCTGTGCACATATATATATATATATATATATAATGGAGTTCTGAGAAGAAAAAGGGGTTTGTTTTTTTTTTCACTGTAGAATCATGTTATTGGTCAATTTTGACATGATACCATGTGTAGACTGCTGATAATAATTAGCCTTATCCAATTATTTTAATCTTCTTGGAGAAAAGTCGAGGCTCCATGCACAGACTGGCCCTAGGAGTGAAAGCTCTGTAGGGACCCAAGGGCTAAGACCAAAACAAGGAAATTTACATTCTCCATAGGGTGCCTGTGCTTCAGCATTGTTGTTATATAGAGTACTTCTTATGCCAGGTCGGGTTTTTCTAGTGACATATCATAATCATATCATATTATTAACTAGTGATATTATTATCTGTGATGTATGTAGCTCCATTAAATATTATAGTATGTTTTTTTTTTTTTTTAGAAAACAGCTCCTACCAATTACTCTAGTAAAAATAAATTCTCAATAAAAATGCTTAATTTGGAAAAAGACAAATTTACATAGTATTTTGTCATTAAATGAGCAGCAAAAGCCTAAGTCTATGGATCAAAAGATAGCTCAACCTCGTCACCCATTCCTTTTGAATAAACAGGCTGTATTATTTTAGCCCCTTTCTGACCAGAAGCCATTGGTACCTAGAGGTCCAGACCAAATTAATTTATTTTTAGTGTATGTAAAGGGAAAATAGTTTTTTGTATTTTTTTTTATTTGGATAGGGTAGGGAATGGCTGGGATTCCTGTTAGTTTTTTCCTCCTGTTTGTCTTTGACCCTTCTGGGAAATTTCTTATCATTTCCAAGCATGGTGTCCCCATTGAAAGATTCACACTCACCTCATGTTTTTGGAGTTCCCATCACTTTATATCCTGGTGACAATAATCACCAGGGCAATTACAGAGGGTATATCTACCCAATGGGGACACAGACAGAGATGAAAACTTGACAAGGGCTCTAATTTCTCTCTACTCTAACTACTCTACACCTACAGAGCAAATGTTTCCTCTTTTTGTAGACTTTTTTTAGACTTTCATGTCACTTTTTACTGCCACTAAACATAAAGTAATGCAAATAGATATAAAAGACCTTAAGATATTTAAAGTAAACCTGTCACTTAACATTTTAAATACATGCTTAATAACCAGTTCAGTACCTTTACCCTTTTTTCTGTTTTGGGATCTCTTATTCTACATCTTATATTGTTCATTTTCAAAGACAATTTTAAAATGATGGAGAATTAACAACATAAATGAAAAAAGGAGAAAAACAAGTCAGAACCGTAAGCACAATAGAACAGTGAAGAGGAAGAAAAAGAATATGAAGGTTCATTATCAAAAGTGGACTGTTCAGGAGGAAGATTCTCCCCAAAGACTTAATGGTTTAATTGCCTCCGTTTTTTTCCTTTCCTCTTAAAATTTGAGGTCAGTGATTCACAGACTGGACCCAGGCAAACACCACAAATTCACATTCATAATGGCAGCACCCACATGTCTGGAGCTCCCTGGTGGTTTGCTTAGGAAGGTATAAGTAATATTATATTTAAAAAGAAAAAAAAGTCTGTACTGGTGAGATCGGGAGAGACTGATATTGAAAATTATTAGCACTACTTCTGCAGCCCATGGTCAGTCTGTTCAGATGATAGCCAGGGATATATCT